ATTCAATGTATTTTTGCGCAAATTCTTTGATTATATATGCCTTAAAATAAAAAGAACTAGTATGGACATGTTAACAATCATGCTCATTTGGTCTATTATTAAAATAAAAATAATAAACTTCTATTTTTGAAAATATTCCTTTTTAATTTTATATATCAATATTTTTTAAACAAATATTAGTGGACTTACACTTGTTTTAGAGATTTCCCTCTTTAAAATTCATTTAGTTTCATAATTGCCAATAACAGAAACATAATTTTCAGTTACTCCTTTCTAATAGTGTTTTTGTTCGTTTTAAAAATTGAGGTAATAAATAGTTTTAACACAAACTCCTCTTCATATTATCTTTTCATCTTTTCCTCAATTTTAATGGGACTTGATCTGTTTCCACATTCTGCATTCATGCTCTGCCTCTGATTTTTTAAAAATGAGGTTATTATAGAGGTATAACTAACATTTTAGGAAACATAGACTGTTAATTAACAATGATTCCTTCAGAATTCAAGATTAAGTTTGCACTGCATATAAAATCAAGCCCAAGTGTAGTTTGTGAAAACTGTACAAAGAAATTTATATTCTGCAGTTATTAAAATTTTCAATGGCACAATCTAAGCTGGAGCATGATTAACAAAATGATTAATAATGTATCAGAACTAAAGCACATAGAGTAACATTTAAAATCATTTTCATACTTGTTAGGACTCTCAAGTATTGTGCCCCCCCACACCCAAGCTCCCATTTCACATTTTCATTTTTTGCTCGTGGAGGCCTAAAAAACTAAAATTATATAAAAACTGTGCATTTGTAAAAAGAAAATTAGATTTTTGCATAGTATAGATATATTCTTACATTTTTTTGTTGAATACATACATATGGCATTGAAAGAAACATTACATTAAGACAAATTAAAAATTTCAATGACAAACATTTATGCACATTAAACCTTATTTTCCAAACAGTGCAGAAATTTTAAAAAGCTCCAATAAGTATTTATTATTATATTGTTCACAAAATTCAGTATTGTTTTAAAGATACTTTTGAAGATATGCAATAATAGCTCTAGGTAAAGTGCCAATGCCTTTTCAAACAAGTTAGATTTCACAATGCTCACATCAATCACAAACCAAAACATAGCTCATTCAGTTATAAGTTAGCAAAGGAGAGGCCATTGATTTTGTCGTAGACCACAATTTTAAATAGATTTATTTCAAAGACAAAAATAATGTGTGGCAATAAATAAAGCATGTACAGTCAAAGAAAAACATTACAACTTTAATATTGATATTACTGGATAAATATTTCTAAAGCACAAAAATTAGTACTTTGTATGAAAAATGAGCAAATAGAATGAATATATTCTGGCTTCTCTTTGACTGAGTGAAGATGTGTTTAAATGAAAATTTAACAAAAGCATTATCTATCTAAATGAGCACATTTCATTCTACAAATTACTAAATGTGGAAGAGAGACTTAATTCATTACAAAAGCAATAGAAGAGGATATTTTAAATGAGGTAAAAATCGTGAAAGTGTATTGTGTACTCATTTTTATGATTTAGCACTATTCACTCCTTCAATCATGATTTCAAAAAGTTAAATGATATTTGGTCTTTCTAGAACAGAGGCAAATTAAGTCTGTTCTAAGGATGATGATCTATAAATGTGCATAGAGATGTTCATATCAATGTTGCTTGTCATGTAAGCTCACATTTAACTCATGAGAACAAGGATGTCTATCTTCAGAGTTAATAATTCCTAAATGTAAAATTTGATTTAGACATATGAAAAGTGAAGTTTCTCATGTCCTTGGAGTTTTCTTTATAATAATATATTATTTTGGAATAAAGGTAGTTCTGCCTTCAATGAAGAAGACTAATGAGATGGAGACTCTGATGCGAACTAAACAGGAATTCTGAAGCAGGGTTGTTCTCCTTTTTTTATTTTATAGAACACTTAATGCCATATCTCAGTTCTGATTTATTATTTGAGTTGATAACTTATTATCTTAACCAAAAGCAAATTTATGATGACAAATTAAAGACAACCAGAGGTTACAAATAATGGAGAAACATGGATAAGGACAGAGCTTTCCTTGAGAGATTTTTGCTAGTTCTGATACTTTTCTAATTTACAGCTCCCAGGAAATAGTGCTCTTAATCTGTACTTTATTTTCTAACCTAAAGTAGAAACCACATCTTTACATTTAAGAGCTATTTTTCATCCTCATCTGTCATGTACTCCTTTAAAGGTGGTGGAATTCTTTAAGATATTTTCTTTTAAATGAAACATATATAAAGTTCTCTTAATTAAAAGTTCTCTTAGAGATTTAATATTCTGATTAACCAGTGCTGAAATTCAAGCAAGAACCTTCCTTGGTTTTGTTTAAAAAGAACTTTACTTTCAATGGGAAAGTGCAAACATAATAAAATGCAGGGGATTTGGCATCATTGAGAACACAAAACTTTGTATTTGCCAGATTATTTTTTAAAAGAGTGTTTCCTTTTACTAGTGCTTTACTATCCTTAGTAATGGAAAATCTTTCTTTTAATATTTTCTTTCATTTTTAAATACAGTAATTTTGAATCAACAATGATAAGCTAAAGGTAGACTTTCAAATCTATTCTAAAATCCTATAAAAGCAAATGCCAACTGAACAAAAATCCTCTTTTGAATTAAAAATAAAGAACCCAAGGCTTTCAATCAAGATGTAAATGTCCTTTTAAAGACATTTTATATAAATCTATCATTCATTTGAATTTAATTATTTGTAGAAGAAAGGTAATTAGAACTACATTTTGATGACCTGGATCTTTTCCCCCCAGAAGACACGAATATTATGTCATCCCCTGATAACATAAAATAGTATTTTTTTCATGCTAAGAAATCTTTTAAATACCTAATATATTTTTTTAAGGGAACAGTAAGAAAAAGATGGAGTATTTATTTTTCTGCAATGAAGATTTTTATGTTTCTTTATTTCACCTAGTAATATGTTAGATATATCATGAGTAATCATCTCTTTCCCTTGTTAAATCTATCATATATGAAAGAATTTTATGCAACCATTGCAGGTTCATACTTATTCTTACATTTACTAAGATTAGTGAATTGGCTTAGGCAAAAGATTACTCAAGAATTGTTTTTAAAAAGTGTCTGATGTTTCCTAATTAGTAACACCTTTGAGGTAGTGAGTCTGCATACACATGAACAGAAAATATGGCCATGAATATATCACTAACTGTGAGATGATAATAAGAGTTTTTGATTCTTTTAAATTAATAATAAATTGCCTTAGCTAAAGCTATAGAAAAGGATCATCATCATCCATTTTTGAAATTACTTTCCAAAACACTTAATTTCCAGTTAATGAAAATCCAGAACTCAGATGTTTTGTGACTATAAATGCTCCCATTTATGTGGTAGGACCCAAAATATTAAAGTATGATATTTGCAACATTTCTTCTTCCCTCCACCCTCAGCATCTTTTATGGAGACATATAAGGTCTTTTTGGACTTGCTGTGCTACCTTTCTTTTGCTGATAAGGGTAAGGGGGAGTGGTAGGAGCTGAGAAACGAAAAGAGATGGGATGGAGGAATAAAGAGAGAACAGAGGGGACTGAGAAAGGAAGGTTTGGAAAAATTAATAAAGGAATAGAAAAAAGATACCTAGTATTCATGAACCTTTTGCGATAAGAGATTTAACTGACTGCTTTACAGAGTAGAAATTGGGTAGGGAAAGAAATAAAAATGGAATTTTAAGGAAAAAAGTCACCCTTCAGAAGACTTTCTATAAAGACTGCTTTTCAAGGATTGGATTTGGATTTGTTTTCCATTCATGAACTGAGGCCCTAAAGCTGAAGCTGGAAGTCTGCTTTATTTACGTGATAGCTGAATGGATTTTTGAAGGATAGGACAGAGTGAAATAAGAGAAATCATCTTGATTATGGCATGCATAACTTACTTATCAACAGTTATAACAGCGCAAAAGAGCTATAATTATTGATTCTGGTTAAGCTAAGAGCTTTGCAATTCCTGACTTTTTAAATTTGATGATTTATGTACCTAATCTCCTCGATTGTGCATATGCCTTATAATATGAGAAAATGAGTTGACTACAGACTGGAAATTGACCACCCAGAATATAAGATGAAAATAGTTTCTTCATCTGTCTGATTGTCAAAATCCAAAAAGACTCTCAGTAGTATAGATAAGAAAATTTAAAATAATGCAGGTACATGAATATATATGCATATTTTAGTTATCAAAGATTTTTCCTGAAGGCTTGTGATTTATGGAAGTTACTCATTTTCTTCCTATAATTAAGTGCTATGCTTATGCATATTAAAGTTTTAATTACTGAATATGTACACTAGTAAATCTCAAAATGTTTCATGTAAAATTTTTAAACATATTTGACAACTTAACTATTAACATTCCTGCATATTATCATTCCCTTGGGATCATGGACTCTGTGATTGATAGGCGGTAAAGAAATAGCTTTATTTTTAATGTTTCAGTTTAATATTGCACACATATTTCAACCTTGCTCTGACCATAATGAGGTTCAAAATTACACTCTTAGGATTATCATGCTTATAGTTCTGAAAAATGTAAATGTAATTTTAAAGAGGATTTGGGGTAAGAGACAAAGTGAAAGACAGTTTATAAAACTAGATAAGGATGTTAGGGAAGAAAAAAAGTATAGATTAACCAGATATGGATAGAATCAGACTTTTTTAAGAAAAAAATTTCTTAACAGAGAACTTCAATGTGGCAAACACTGAATGCTCTTCCTAAAGAAATTTAAACATTTCATCAAAGTATACAGATGTTGCTGACAGAGTCCTATGGAAGACCATAATTATTCTATTCCTTATTTTTCTAAATACCTTTTTTATTGTATTATAAAAATAAATATATATGGTTAATAAATTTAATCTGTTTTACATCTGTTATTTATGTTATTATTTAATATATATTTGAAGACAGGTAAATGTGGATATTTTATATTTCCTCTAAATGTACTCATATTTGTGTTAATGTATCAAGCAAACTGCAGATAGTTTGTGAGTGATGTGTGACCATGCGGGTGATGGCTGGAAAATGCTGCTAGCTATTTCTGATACACTTACTTAAAAAGTGATGGATTTCCTACTTTTTTCCTTTTTAGTATACTTCAAGGAGTATTTTAAAGACTCTTCCTTTTAGCTCTATACATTTTTTTTTGAAATGAGACAAATTAAGCTGTGGTAGGCAAAAATCAGGAGATAAATCATTAAGAAAATAAATATGTGGAAAAGTGTAGTCTAATGGGACAATCAACAAATCTGAAAAAAGATAAACAAAAAAAGTGAATCTCCTTTAATAGCAAGAAAGCTACTGTCACCAAAAAATGTGATTTAGGTAGGAATCTGAGAATGTGGGTAGGCACCTTTATCTATGTGATCAAATAAACACTGATTTATTACATTAGCATCTTTAGACAACCTGGCCTTTTGGTTTTTCTTCCTTAACACATTCTCCCTACTCTTATACCTAGCACAACAGTCATTTTTTTTTTTTTTTTAGTTTCACAAAGAACAGCTGATTTTATAATTGAATTTGTTCAATTAAGCTGACTCAGCATAATTCACTAAAAAATGTACTTGTCTTTTTGACAGCCTCCAAGAAGATTATGACAACAGCATACCTTAGCTGTTTCATGTTTTTATGTTATTGTATTATGAACCCAGGTTGACACAATATTTATGTATGTTCATGTGTTAGATCAGTTTATGCTCTCTTTGGAGTATGCAATGGCATACCTGTCTCTTGGAAGGTTTGGAAAACAGCTCAGCATGTTCATGTAACTTATTTTTATGAACAAAACCACAATTCTTAAGCTTGCAAAATGCACTAATATCAAATGGTCAGCTACATGTGTTTATTTTCTTTTGCCACCAGACAACTATTATTAAATGCTGTTTAAATTAAATTAACATTTTAACATTAAATCCAAGGCTATAATCTTAGAGCTTTTATTTCAAGGAATTCTACTGAGAATAATTATTTTTGGAAACTTGTGAAGAAGAGCCAAGGAAATAGTCATGTTTTATTCTATACTTCACTCTGTGAAAGCCTTTAGAGCATAGGACTCTGTCATGGTCTTTCTAGAGGTGATCTTTATAAGGTAGTAGAGAAATGTACTATAGTACTGCAGTTAGTAAAAAATTAGAGGGGGAAAGCCTCTAAACTACCACCTACTATGAAATACGTAGGACACTTTTTAAAAAAATAGACAAACCCAGCCTTAGAAGATCTGAAAGCACAGTATGTTTTTCCCTTTCCCTCCCCGATAACCCCCTTCTCACCATAGTCACACCTGACAAGAATTCACTACATAAAACCATTGCTCATTTCTGTAAATCTAACATTAGGCATCAACAATTAGACCATTATAAAATAAAATAACAATACGACCCATAGAGTTAAATATAATTATCTAACAAATAAATATGCATGTCAATTTGGAAGCTACTTGATCACAAACCATGAAAATAAGGTCAACTATTTCTTTTTCATCTACCATCAAACTCTAAATACATCATTAAGGAAGTTACATCTGGGCAAATTCCTGTGTTAAGTCCCTGAACACTTCCCAAATGCTGTTATACAAAGTTACACATCCATGCTGAGTTATTTACCATTGTGTAGTGATATCTGCAGTGGGCCAGGGTTTTATTTGCAGGTTATTCAGAGAGGAGCTATGAAGCATGATTTAAAAATCCAGGTTGGAAGCATAAACAAGAGTGTGTGCCCCGTAGTCTGAGCAGGGGACAGCAGTTTGTAAAGTGATGTTTGGAGATTCAGAAGAGCGGGTAGTGGAGAGGATACCTTTCATTATAGAAATGCTGAGGCACAAAACACCGGTGCTTGTAGTCCTTTCATACATGAAATCCTTTCTCCTGTATGTGCATCATGTGTAAACGTAACGTCTGTATACTGCTGACTATTCGTCTCTGGTGTCCAATGAGTATGACTCCAATTCCTCTAATGTCACTGAGAGAGAAAAAGAGAGAGAGAGAGAGGGAGAGAAAGAGAGAGGAGGCAGGGAAAGAGGGGGATAGAGAATAGAGAATATGAACATTTAGATCTGAGATCTTGCCAACTCCTCTTTACTTTTTTCTCTCGCATAAAATTGTGTTTTCAAATTTGGGGAATATCCAAGACCTAAGTATGAGAGAGAGGAAATAAACATTGAGATATGGCAAATATGTAACATGTCTGATTTGCTTTATAAATTTGCCAAAAATTGTATAACTGGTAAAATAAAAGTTTAAGAAGACATATAAATGAACATTAAGAGTTTGTTACTTTTTTCTTCTCCCTGGTGCTAGTAAATACATCAAGTTAACCTCAAATTTAAGGAAAATTTCAAATTCAGGCACTAATGTAATATTCAGACATGTCATAGCCCTAAACATTATATAATTTAGGTAATTGTATAAATTTTCAACAGTGTTAGAAAAATAGTATGTAGGGCAGAATGTATAGTGTGGACTCCATTTGAGTTCTCAGATCTTTCAATAATTTGAAAAAGAATGCCATTGTATTATGCTGAATCATATGAAATTGTCATTATTATTTTAAAACAATGGCAATTTCATATGGTTCAACTTACTAGTTTTAGTATCTAACCTTTTAAGCACATCTTGAGCACTTTTATTGCACACAGGCAAAAGAAAATCTTTGAGACAGTGGGAAAATGACTGGACATAATACTATAGAGAAGGAAATCTGAAATGACATGATAATATTGTATTATTACAATTATTACATTTGATGAAGTAACAGGAAGTGACTACTAGTCTATAAGATGAGCATATATGAGTAATAAATAACTTACCAGAGTAAAACCATGTTGATGTAAAGTCTATGATGTGAACAAGCCTAATATTCATTTTAGAAATTATTATAAAATTTTAAATAGCGATTTGAATAAAATATATTCTTTTAAAGAATAGTAGTTAAAAGTGTAATGTCCAACTTCCACTAGAACAGTATTTGGAAATGGTGGGGAAAGATGTGGGAATGCTATAGGAGCCTTAGGAAAGGTAGTTTAACCATGGTTTCTTGATACACTACTTGAATTTATAATCCCCTGGGTGGAGCATCTAAACCCAGTAATAACCCTTATACCACTTACTCGATGCTCATTCTTGAAATCAGGTCAAAAGTCGTAAACCCTGCAGCCATGAAGTTATTCTTATATTGCCCCATTTTTATAGAATCCAGCCAGTCACCCACTGTGACAAACAGAGGATATTCAGGAACTTCTCCAGGCGACTCCGGCATTCTACAAGGAAAAGAAACCATGGAGACCATTTAAAGCCAGATAAAGCAAAAATTAGCCAACTTTCTTTTTTCTTTTACAGTAATTTTATATCTAACTAGTGGCCCGGTGCATGAAATTCGTGCACAGGGGAGAAGGATGTCCCTCAGCCTGGCCTGCACCCTCTCCAATCTGGGACCCCTCGGAGAATGTCCAGCAGTCGGACATCCCTCACACAATCCAGGACTCCTGGCTCCCAACCGCTCACCTGCCCGCCTGCCTGATTGCCCCTAACCGCTTCTGCCTGCCAGCCTGATTGCCTCCTAACTGCACCCTTGCCAGCCTGATTGATGCCTAACAGCTCCCCTGCTGGCCCAATCACCCCCAACTGCCCTCCCCTGCCAGCCTGATCGCCCCCAACTGCCCTCCCCTGCTGGACTGATTGCCCACAACTGCCCTCTCCTCCCACAACCCACCTCCTCCACTGGGACTGGCCTCCACGCTGCGCGGAGCCACTGGACCCCCAGGCCTCATTGTGCAGAGCGGCCACTGGGCTCCGCCTCCACTGTGCACACAGCCATCTTGTGGCGGCCATCTTGTGGTGGCCATCTTGTGACGACGTCATGCACGAGGGCCATCTAGGCTTTTATTAGTATAGACTAGAGGCCTGATGCACAAAATTCATGCAAGAGTAGGCCTTCCTTCCCCCGGCTGCAGGCACTGGCTTCCCTCTGGCACCCGGACCTGGGCTTCCCTCTGGTCCCGGCTTCGTCTGGAATGACGTCTGGTCTAATTAGCATATTACACTTTTATTATTATAGATGTTTCCACCCTCCATTTAAAAAATCTCTAATTTCCATCATATTCCATCAACCACTTTTACCTGTTCAGTTTCTCTTGTCAGGTTTTTTTTGTTGTTGTTTTTTGTTTTGTCTTTTTCTGCTTTTTGACACTACTGGGTCTTATACTTGGTATATCATGAGAAAACTCACATCTTACAACTTCTTGCATAAAATTATGTTTTCAAATTTGGGGAATATCCACAAGGAGAATAACTAGCCACAGGCTGCTGTTTACTCTTACACTTTCTTATCTGCCACTGAATCCAAAAAATGCTCTTTTGCCTTTTTCACATTTGCTATGGTAATCCCTTCTGTTTTTCCATGGTGAATTCATTGATTGAGCTTCCATTTATTTGTTCTCATTCAATAATAATATATTATTTATTAAAAAGTAATCTCTGCTGTCAATTGCATGAATGAGATTTATATACATCAAGCATAGGATAATATAGTCCAAAGCACAGACATTAATAAAGCACAAAATTAAGCAAAATCAATGCAAGGTTGGGTTAACAAGAAAAAGGAATCCAGCACTGATGAGTTTTAAATTAAGTGATACAGAAATTTGTATTTTTGTTTCTCACATCTGATGCACAGGGCATTGCAGTTGGGAGTAGTCTTATAGTTTTAATATAAAAATAATGTAAAGGTATTATTTGGGAAGGCTAGGGGAAGTGTGTGTATATATACATAAACACATATGTATGTCATATATGTATGTAAATACACATATAGTATATACACAAATTACTTTTATATAAGTTACAGTCAAACAGAGAGAATAAAATGGAATTTACTTTAGAAATTATAATAAAAGTAACTCAGAATTATGTATTTAAGCCATTATGACAATAAACTATATTATTCTCCTTACCAAATAACATGAAAATTAGTGTTAACAATATTTTGTGTAGTTTTAAAAAATACATGATAGTAAAAGTGCTTTTATAGTAACAAGCATGTTATTAACTCTTTAGGGTAATCTTATCTAATAAAAGAGTAATATGCAAATTGACCATCACTCCAACACACAAGATGGACACCACAAGATGGCTGTTAGGGGAGGGCAGTTGTGGGCTATTAGGCCAGCAGGGGAGGGCAGTTGGGGGGGGGACCAGCCCTGAAGGGGAGGGCAGTTGGAGGGAACCAGGCCTGAAGGGAAGAGCAGTTAGGGGTGACCAGGCCAGCAGGGGAGGGCAGTTGGGGGGGACCAGGCTGGCAAGGGAGTGGTTAGGGGGTGATCAGGCTGGCAGGCAGAAGCAGTTAGGGGCAATCAGGCAGGCAGGCAGGCGAGTAGTTGGGAGCCAGGAGTCCTGGATTGTGAGAGGGATATCCAACTGCCCGTTTAGGCCTGATCCCACCAGGATCCCAGATTGGAGAGGGTGCAGGCTGGCTGAGGGACACACACACTCCCCCCGCCCCCCGCCCCCGTGCATGAATTTTGTGCACCGGACCTCTAGTAAATATATAATTTTAAAAATTATTAGGTCTAGAATCTATCTATACTAATAAAAGCCTAGGTGGCCCTTGTGCGAGACATTGCCACAGATGGCTGCCACAAGATGCTGTGCACACAGCGGAGGTGGGGCCTGGTGGCTGCTCTGTGCAATGAGGCCTGGGGGTCCCGTGGCTCCGCGTGGTGCGGAGGAGGGTGGTCCCGGCATCTCTGCTGCCTCGCGTGGAGGAGGTGGGTCGCAGCAGGGGAGGGCAGCTGGGGGCAATTGGGCTGGTAGGGGAGGGTAGTTGGGGATGATCGAGCCGGCAGGGGAGAGCAGTTGCGGGCAATCGGGCCAGCAGGGGACGGCAGTTGTGGGCGACTAAGCTGGCAGGGGAGGGCAGATGGAGGAGACTGGACCAGCAGGGGTGGGCAGTTGGGAGTGATCGGGCCAGCAGGGGAGGGCAGTTGGGGGAGATCGGGCTGGCAGGAAGTGGTTAGGGGGTGATCAGGCTGGCAGGCAGAAGCGGTTAGGGGTAATCAGGCAGGCGAGTGGTTAGGAGCCAGTGGTCCTGGATTGTGAGAGGGATGTCTGACTGCCGGCAGTCAGACATCCCCCGAGAGGTCCCAGATTGGAGAAGGTGCAGGCCCGGCTGAGGGACAACCCCTCCTCCCACCCCCCGTGCATGAACTTCATGCACTGGGCCACTAGTATTACATAATAAAGCAGTAACAATTTTTTAATGATTGGTGTTTGAGTAAAATCAATAATTTCTAAGTAATACAAGCCTTTCCCATTAGAAGTGAACCTCTGAATTATTTTTATTAGAATACCAGGGGCCTGGTGCACGAAGATTCATGCATGGGGATGGGGGTGAGGGGGGTTCCCTCAGCCCAACCGGCACCCTCTCCAATCTGGGAGCCCTCTGCAATCTGGAGTTTCTGTCTGTCTTTGCAATCATATGAACGAATTGTCTGAGACCCCCAACCCAGTTTGGTTTGTTGCTCACAGAATAATAGAGGCATTTTTTTTTTCTTTGCTTCATTGGTGGAGATTTCCTGGAAGTTTTAGGATATCTTCCCTTTAATTTTTCCTAGACACTCTGATTTTACTTATGTCTCTCATCTTTGCTTTACCTCCATCCCGCACTGCAATAGTAACTTGCTCCAGGCTCACTTTGCTCTAGTGCAGTGGTTCTCAACCTTCCTAATGCCGCGACCCTTTAATACAGTTCCTCATGTTGTGGTGACCCCCAATTTCATTGTTACAATTTGAACATAATTAAAGCATAGCAATTAATCACAAAAACAATATGTAATTATATATGTGTTTTCTGATGGTCTTAGGCCACCCCTGTGAAAGGGTCGCTTGACCCCCAAAGGGGTCACGACCCACAGGTTGAGAACCGCTGCTCTAGTGTCTAGGAGATCCGTCTGCCACCAGAACTACGATTTCCAGCATTCCTGGTGCTCCCCGCGCTCTGGGCTTCTGATTCTGGACCTGGGGCTGCCATCAGAACTACTATTCCCAGAATTCCTGGTGCTCCCTGCACTGGAAGCAACCGAGTGAGCCATGTCCCCCCAAACTGCCGGCTCTCCCACTTCTTCTCTCCACCTGGCGCCTGTGTATGCAAATTAACCCACCATCTTTGGTGGGTTAATTTGCATATTCACCCTGATTGGCTGATGAGCTTAGCGAAGGGACGGTCAATTTACATGTTTCTCTTTTATTATATAGGATTGAAGGTTAATCCAACTTTCATTTACTTTGCTTTTAGTTATTTATAAAATTAAAGAATGAAAGAATCTATGGAGACTAACTAGAGCCATAGTCACATTTGGAATATTTCATTATAATGTTTTTTACATTCATATTTAAACTATTTCAGCTTTAATTAGAAACTAATAGTATATGAGCACATATGATTAAACCACGTGAAATAAGAATACCTCCACTATGAACAGAATGGCATATGCCTGCTATGTAACCCTGGTATTGTAGTGCTAAAAATTATAGGAGTGGGAGTTAGGTTCTAAGGTCAGTGAATAAGGTAAAAATCAAAAGAGAATCTCTATCAAAATTACCCTTAAAATCTTTTAAACTATCCTTAAATGACCAGGACTTGGGTGTCTGGGAGCATAAAAGCCAAAAACATTATGCATGGTCATACAAGTAGTAACATATGACTCCCGAGGACCCTGAAAGGTGCCCCTTGGTACTGTTCAGGACAGAGTTCCTCCTAAAGGCCTAGAATTCATTTATTTTTTTTTCTTTAATTGTTACATTGACTTCCCTTTTTCTAAACTGGGGTCTAGTTGAAGGTGGGGGTGGGGGTAAAAAGAGAGGATAAGCTAATCCAGGGGCTTTTGTTCTTTATATATAACTAGAGGCCTGGTGCACGGAGTGGGGGGTTCCCTCAGTCCAGCCTGCGCCCACTCCAATCGGACACCCCTCAGGGGATATCCAACTGGCCGTCGGACACCCCTCTCACAATCTGGGATTGCTGGCTCCTAACCACTCACCTACCTACCTGTCTGATTGCCCCTAACCCCTCTGCCTGCCTGCCTGATTGCGCCTAACTGCCTAGAGAGAAATGAAGGCTCAGCTGTTGGCCAGGCTGGGAGAGAAAGAGAGGCAAGTTCTGATCAATGGCTGCCAAGAGGCTACGGATCAGCCCCTGCCTCTCTCTCTGTAGGCCTCTCTCCGGGCCTGATCCATAGCCCCCTAGGCAGTCAGTGCTGGGTCG